TATATAATGAGGAAACATTTTTTAGCATACATAATGATTATAAAACATAAGTACAAATACATAATATCCAAGTAACTACAGACGAAATCTAAAATATAAAATATTCCTAATGATTTAATCCAAGTAGTACTAGTTGATGTTGTTATGGAGAAAAGTGTAGAGCCAAGAAACTGGACAGGCTACTACGACAAATTTTTTCCAATTCTGTTGCAAGCCTTATCTAGTTTGCTGCAATTCCCTCTAAATATGCTGCAAGCGTGCAACCTTCTTCTTTGCCCAAGTAATAGAGAGATCCAATTCTTAATACACCTATACCCACTGTCATAAGGAAAGAGAGTATTAATATCTAACTCATTCCCAACTTGAAGACAAATTGGCTATAACGTTAAGCCTTCATATCAAAAAGACTAAACTAATCATATAACTAAACATAGATAATCATTCTCTCATGTATATGTGCCACCAGCTAAACATTGATAGCAGACAATGAATTCATTGACAAACAATGATATCCAACCTAATTAACCAAGCTAGAAGCAAGGATTAGAAGAACAGAAACACAGCTTAAGTAAACATTCTGCTCCTATCAGATCCTCAAAAGGAAGAAGCTCAATTTTAAATTTGCTAGCATAAAGGGATTGACTCACTACTCCAACCATTGTATATGTGCTGCCTTCCACTGTCATGTTTGTTGAGTGTAAGAAATCTGTACAAACATAATTATAATGAAAAGTCTGATACATTATAATGAAATACTGCAGCGAAAATTGCTTTGTGAGATTAGATCATACTGAAAATGGTCAGTGAGTAGGCATGTCATGCTGTAGTAATATCAAATACCAAAATTTGGTTCATATTTAAATGAGATTCTTCCTCACTCATACATAGACAACAATGGAACTACCCTGCTTCAACAGATAAACAACAAAGAAAAAGAGTAGTATGCATACTAATACTGCAATTAATTAAACATCAAGTGGCTTTCCTATTCTACATGAAATACATGGAACCAATTTAACACCAGAGCATATGAAACCACATGTTCTCAGATCTAACAATTAGCATCGCACAAGCAGGGAACAAAGCACATAAGCGGCTAAATTTACATGAACTGAACTTTACTGCTAAGAGAGGAAATACCTACAAAATTAGAAAATGCTCAGAATCTATAAAACATCAAATAAAACCAACAAAAACTTAGGCCAACCCCTAAAAACAACCAAAATACTCAAAAAGAGAAACAAAAGTATTTACCAAAGGACAATAATTACAGGCGGTGTTTACAACAATAATTCAGTTCACTCACAATGGTTTCCTGCACGTATTAGACAACCAATTCCTCCTTAATATCTCCGTTTGCAGGCTGTGAAATAAAGGGAACGTGCAAAAAGAAAAAACAAAAGAATTAGCTCATAAATAAAAACTACTATCAATAATTGAACAAAACAGGAACTCCTAACCTAATTTGAACTTAGCAGCAACTCCTCCTACTGAAAGAAAAAAAAGCAATGGAGCATTTGGTATAAATTTAGGAAACTTAATATAGGTTTGACTTAAACAAAAGACAATGACAAAATTCAGTGGGGTCAAGCAATGAACTTACACTTCATTCAAACATCTATAAGTACACAACCCAGTTGTCTCATAGAATTTAACAATCAATGCAGCTACCTCAGATTCCTAAGTTGGTAGGTGGCAGGGAAAATTAGTCTAGATCTACTCCCAAGGAATTTCAAATATTATTTTTCCAATCGAGACCCTATAACACCCATTTTCTTAGTAGTTCGACCATTGAACGCCATCGCCTGTGACTGGACATACGAAAGATGAAGGAATCAGAATTAAGTGAAAGACTTGATTATCTTGTTCTCGAGAAAGTCGTCTCTTTTCGGTTTCATTACCGAAATGACTTCAACCCACTACCCATCTTCCACTATACTCCTGAATCTGACCATGTGGGTTGTCACTCCAAAATCATTCTATGTATACCCAGCTATTTTTCCTAATTAGAATGAATATTCTCCAAGATGGACCCTAGTTATTCTGAACAAAGAGAAATATCTGTGGTAGGACAACTCAAACTCAATCTCTATATCTACCTTGGACTATATAAAGAATCATGTAATATTATAATTTGATAGAGAGGGGAAAAGCAGGATTAATGAAGCATTATTGAAGTGAACATAAGTCATTGTATTGTAATTACCTGTGAAACAGTGATGGATTCAATTTCAGGAGGGAATGGCCTGCTTGTGTAGAATGTTTCAGCCGATGTTGCAGCATGGCTCTGATGATGCTGTTGAACTGCTACTAAAAAAGAATTAGTTAAGATTTGGCAACACATACCTCGCAATCACAATCATTTTTGGCATTATAATATGATAAAAAGAAAACAAATGGGATGGTGTTATCATTCTAAGAAAAAAGAACAATGAGAAGAGTACTTGCATAACAAATCTTCATGCACCTAGCTCTTATCCATGCATTCCAAATTTGACAGATCTTGTTCAGTAAATGGCCATTTATATATTTTGTTGTTCCAACTTAACCTCCTGGTACCACTGTAATCTGAATAGTGACCATTATGACACATAGACAGCAAACATATGAATTCATAAGTCCCTTCTGCTAAATTGGGGCAATCTGGGGGCTTCATCGCAATTTCTCATTTCACCCCTTTCCCAAATCTTCATTTGTATTTCTTAGTACATATGCTTCATCTCTAATTTTCCCAACAATGTCACTCTACTCTAGGTCAAAAGGGAAAAACACAACAACAACAAGTAATCTTACCTCAAAGACAAAGCTGAGAGCGATCACAAAATTGTAGTTTCTAGGTTGGATATAAGATAAACTTCGACAAACGAAAGTTGAGCAGTTCAAGGATTTTACAATAGGTAAACTTAGTTTCTTGTTAATACTACATGTTTTCTAACCATCATAGAATTTAGCTTCTCCATTCAGAAAGAAATAACAAAAAGAATCGACATGTATTTTCGTATATCAAACTTTCCAATATCCAAATAATTTCAAAAGTACTTGTAGCACGAAGAAAAATTTACCCCATAGAAGAAAGCAATATACCTTGGAGGGCTGACTTAAAAGCCCTTGTTGATGTACCAACAATACACAGTATAAACCCAAACAGATGGAAGCTTGGTTCACCCTATTGCAATAGATGCATAAAGGAGGTCGATTAGAACCAACCCAAATCTTTAAACTCCATCTACATGTAAATGACTCAGAAAAGCAACCAAAATTGACAGATTCAATTGAATAACTTGCAGGGGTCCTAAGCATTTGTCATCTCTCGAATGAACATTCAAAAAGTAATTATTTAAGAAGCAATGATGAATACACAACCATTTGTCAGAGAGAAGGGCTGCTTCAAATGAACCAATCATTCAGAATATGTCTCCCGCAGCTTTGAACTGTGTATTAGAAGCCAGTTTCTATCGTTCATCTTTGGCGAAATGAATGAACTCCATAGAGCTTCATTTTCCTTGTTCATCATTAAAAGCTGCTAGAACAGCAGCAGCTCCAAAACCCATTTGCATGTGTAATACATGTATTACTATGAAGCTAAATTTGGGTCACTCCCATACCTAATTTCATTACCAATAATAATCATCAAGTGGTCAGTACCAAGCGTGAAACTTTCACCATTGCAACAAAACCTCAGTCACAATATTATGCATTCCTCAATCTAGACTCTAACCCCAACCCTAATTATACCGAAAGACAAAAAGGAATCAAATGAATAGTTAGCGAACTCGGCCTAAGATCACAGGCAACACATGAATCGGTGGTGGGATAGAAGGGAGAAATGGAAGTACCTCGTATAGGCTCTGCTCGTCTCCGGAGGACCGATCGACCATCTCCGCTGACAAAAATAGTCCTCCACTCCATATCATCATCCCCATCACTCTCTAACGACCTTTCGTAAGCCTCCCTCCTAATAAACTTCTCCATAGTCAATGAACAACAGTTCAAAGGCCTGGTGGTTCTCTTTTCTCACATCTTTGTAAACCTACCTGTTTTTATATTTTATGCAAAATAACTCTGCGATCATAAGATATGAAAATAATTGATGATAATAGCTTTCAAACATCAAGAATGAATGAGCACATTACCTGGCAATGGAACGAAATGTGTAGTAGTTCTTTGGGCAAACTCATCTGAATAGGAACCATTCACTTCGACGGACAAATGGGGCTGGAACAACACTAAATTTGGTATCCCTTTCACAAACTCATTGTAGAGCAAGCCATATTCAGGGGCTCTAACCATTCGCGTCAAATCCATTGATAGCTTTTTCTTCACTTTAGTTTCATATTTTAGCTTGCTCTGCCGAATGAATCAAAGTCATGCCCTGCTAGGTAACTCTGCCGCTCGACATCAACTTCATCCCTGAATTCGTTGAATTTGCGATCTGTTCTAAAGAGGGAAAATGTCAATTTCATCTCTCCTATTGTTCCGCGAATTCGTCCGGCAAATGATACGCTCTCCATCTATGAAGACACGAAGAGTCGCGCCTCGAAATCCACTGGTCGAAACTGACTGAGGGGAACGTAGCAATGCCCGGTCACAGTCGACGAAAGAGGCAAAAATAGGGAATTGAAGTGCACTTTAGTTTGGGAAGGAAAGAGAAAAAGGGATGCAGGCGGTTGCAGTCGACGACAGAGGGGGAAAAGGGGGGAAATCCCGCCTAAATGGGCAGTCACCTGAGCATCCGAAATTCAATATCAAATTAGGAATTTTTGAATTTAGGGTGTAGTTTCAAATTTCAGCTATAAATGATACTGTAGATGTCCAACCTCGAATTTCCCAAACAATTAGTAACTAATCGATCTGCTTGTTAATCCAAAGTACTTATTGACAAATTCCATTATAATTTCTATCGTTAATTAACTCGAAAGTGAACCAAGATGACTGTAGTGACAAAAATATAAACTGTAATTAATGATAATTGATTCATACTCTTCTTCTATGTACTCTTGTCATCCTTTTTCTTTAACTTTTCCCGCCATCTTCTCCAGTCTCCTTTGCTTACGTTCCGAAATCAGAACCGTTGGATAAAGACACGTGGCGGCGCCTGACTTGCGGGGAGACGATGGAGATGAGTCGACCCAGCGGCGGCCGCATCTTCGACCTGTAAACAATATCATTGTACGACCGCCGGTAAAACTTGAGAAGCGGGACGAACGACTCCCTGCACCGATCAGCCTTGTAATTCCCAGCGCTGTAGAACATCTCCGGTGACTGGAGGAATGAAGGGCGCGGTGTCTGCGGGTGGCATAACTTGAGGGAGGAGTCGCCGTCGGTGACCCGCTCGACAGCGGCAGGAAGCCTTTCCTTGCCAGCCTGTCGGCGGCGGCGTAGTGGCTGCTCCCGCTGATGCTGCCACGTGGCGTCCGGGTGATCGGTGACCCGAACGATTGGGAGCGGGCGTTGAGCAGGGAGATCAATGCGGGGCCCACTTTGGAAGCTGACGTGTCGCCGGTAAGGGAGAGGTACCACGGCTTAACGGAGTCGGAGTGGTGGGAGACGGTGAAGGAGAAACGGGAGGAGGAGCAGGAGCCGATCCTGGCCGTCGATGGGTCGAATCGCAGGGACGCGGATCGTGGATAAGTGGAGGAGAAGTCGTTCAAGTACTCCATGGAGTCTTCGAATTCCGGCGATGACACGACAACCGTCGTCGTTGATAGCTCCACAAATGGACGGACACCCTGATAATTAAATTAAAACCCAATTAAATTAAATATATAGCAAAAGAAAAGAGTTGATTTTTGTCGTTAGAATAGTTTGAATTTGAAGGTAAGAGAACAGGGAAGGTGGGTCGATGAGGAAAGCTCTGCGAAGCCTGGAGGGATAGTAGTCGGCCACAATTTTCAGTGTTGGTAGGAGTTATATCTTTAAAAGAACAAACTTCCATTTTACTGTTTGGTAGAGTCACTTCTAATTACTGTTTAGCAGGCTTTTACTGGGTTCTCGTTTGGAATGATTGCCCTTCTCTCTCTTTTATCTCTGCTTTTTGCCTGGGTTCCTTCGCCAACGACGGCTCTTCTCTCTTCAACTGATCGGTTTTCGGACCTCCTCACCTTTCTCCTGGAGATGACAGGTCTGCTGCTTCCTCATTTCTTCCTTATCCTGCTTTCCTACTTATCATTCTTGCTTCTCACATCATTCTCCTTTGTTACTCTGCTTTGCTCGCTGCCTTTCTTCCGTTTCTCTTCGATGGTGACCCATAAACTACTGTTTCAGCTCAGCGACGCGGATGGTCGTCATACTCTTCTGAAGTTGCGTCTGCTTAATGCGTGGGGGTCTTATGGTTTGAAGAATCCAAACTTAATCTTCAACTACTACACTCTTTGGACTGATGAGGAGGTCAGCGTTGACTTCCTTTTCTTTGCATGCAATTTTGCTGTTCCCTTTCGTGTTCAGCTCTCTAATGTTCTTCACTTCCTGTCCAGGGCACTTTGATTCAGGGTACGACTCCGTCGGAACTCACTCACCATTTTGCTCCGCTTCTGCAGTTGGGAATGTTTATTTCGTTAGCAATATTCGTGTCAAACCGCCTGCCCCTTCGTATCGTTCTTGCTCTCACAAGCTGAGTATCGTCCTGGCTGCTGATACACAATTCGAAGATGTGACCAGTTCGTCGCCACAATTTTGGCCGGATGCGTTCGAATTTGCCCCTTTTAGTTCGCTCCATTCCCGCATACGTTCGTCAGTTCATCTGACAGGTCGTCTTCCATTCTTGTCTCTTTATTTACCCTGCCATGCTGTGCTATTTGCAATCCTGCCTTTTAACTCCTTATTTGGTTCTCTGTAGATGTTGTTGGCGCTGTCGTTAGCATCACAGGCGTTTCAAGCACTGTCACTTCTTTTGGAACTACCGTGCGGAGTGATTTGGTTCTTCAGAATGAAAAGTGAGTTAGAGATTCACGACTTTGCTTTATAGCCCTCGCTCGCCTTTATGCTTACTTTACCTGGGTATCTTGCCCAGTCACATGTTTCTTGATATCAGTCTTTGGAGCGAGATAGCTAGGAGCCTCAATGGTCAGGAACTGGCTGTCCTTGGTCGTTCTGGCCCAGTCATGCTTGCTGTTTGCTCGCTCCGGGTCACTGGCGCTACGAAAGGTCTACATATGGCCTATCAACGCATTCCTCTTTACATTTCCCTTTTTGGATTCTGATAACCTTTTCCATTCTGCAGGCGGTTACTCTCTTACCAGTACTCCAGGCACACGTTGTGTTCTTAATCCTGTTTGTGAAATGGCTCACCTGGTTCAATCTGTGTATGTTGTTCCTTTCTGCTTGTCATTTGTTTCCCTATCTTTATGAATTGCCTGTTACCCTACAGTTGTGTACTGTTCCTGTTCATTGTTTCCCTACCGGTTGTGTACTGTTTCTCTGATTGTTCTCGTTTGTTGCCTTTGCTTTAACTAGGTTCTTTGCTAGCACTAATACAGTTCAGTATTACCCTCCGAGGTTTGCAACTCCCAATGAAGCAGCGGCTTTCGAAGCTGAGTGTACAAAGACTGTATCACAGTTGCTTGCCTTGTGTTTTCCACCTGTTGCCGATGTATGTTTTCTTTCTTTTACACTACTGCTGACCTATTCCTGTTTCTTTGTACTTATTTTTTGCCCGTCTGATCGGTTTCCATTTTTCGTTGGTTGTAGTCTACGCGTTACCATTGCTCTGGCCGAATCGTTTCTGTCGATTCTTCAATACAGTGGTATTACTTGGGTTGTGCCTTCTATTCCAAAACAGCCATAGACTATGATGGTGTCGACAAATGGTGTGATGACCACCGCCATTTGGTGCCTCAACAAACACAGAACTTGTAATTTCTGACTCAGTTGTTGCTTAATGCCTTTTCCTTTTGTTATGTGCTTAAATGTTGTTGTGTTTGTTTTTTGCAGCTACAAGCTCCGTGTAACTGTTGATGACAACACTGATTCAGCGGTGTTTGTTCTGCTTGGGAGGGCCGCTGAACTTCTTGTGGGCTTAGCTGCTCATGATCTCTCTACTAGGTTCCCTTATCAACGTAACATTTTGCCACAAGAACTTCTTGCTCTTGAAGGACGAGACTTTACTTTTGATGTTCAACTTCCAAAACCAGAGTATGGGTCTCGTGGCCCTCCAGAGTTTACAGTTCTTTCTCTCACGGAGCAGGAACAACCAAATTCCCATTCACCGGCTACTGGTCGCCGCCCAAGAAATGGCATGCTCCATACACCACCTCCTAACAGGTTAGTCAAGAAGTCCTCCTTAGTTTATGACTTAGTTTCCTTCCGCTTAACAACACCCGTTGCTTTTCATTGCAGTTCTCACATGGTCCCTCTTGGTTCCCCACAAACCGTTCCATCAATGCATGTATCTTCGGTGGAAAATGTTTCTTCTTCTGCTTCACCAAGGTTATTTCCCAGTTCTTAGCCTCCGAATTTTCTTTTTTTGCTTACCCTAATTGGTGTTCTCTAACTAAATTTCCAGTGGGAGTTCTCAAACTGCATTCTCTACTCCTCCACGCCGTCCCTATATAAGGTTGCTTTGAGGCTAAAGTCTGCTTTGAAAAATCCATACACAATTATTCAAATAGTTTCGTGCTCTTTTTCAACATACTAAAGCTCATTTTTCATTCCTTATCCGCACACCAATTTGCAGTAGGCGTATTGCTGCTGGTTCTTCGCCCTCATCTGCTACCTTACTTATACTTTTACAGTTTCTGATGTACTGTTTGTGTCGTGTTTTTTTTCAGCATCGCCTCTGCATTGTCTTCTCCTGAAATTGGTCAGGTTGTGAGTGTTTCCTATGCGCGGTCAGTTTTCAACCCTGCAGCTTTATTACATCAATTGTTGGATTTTACACCTGCTCTTGCTTTTCGTTGCCTCTTACACAACTGCTTTTTCAATTGCTTCTTAGACCTAGGATTGAGGCGGTACCCTCGCAGGTTCAAACGCATCCATCGTCGCAGTAATTATCCTTGTCTTTACCTACTTACTCACTTACAATTCCTCCTTTACTTTACTAACACTTTCTCTATCAGGGAAGTTGCCTTGCCCACTGTAGATGCTTCTGTGCAGAACAAAACTGATACTTCAAAGAAAGCGAATCCGAAGAAACCAGCTTCTAAGAAGAAGTTTGTCTCCTCTTTATCAGTCTTTGTTGTTTATTGTACCCGTTTAACCGAAATCCTGCATTAGATTTGCAACATTTGTTTAGATTCCTTCTGCTTGCTCTTTCAGTTCTCTTACACAAATGTACCGTCATAAGTTTCTGGTTTCTTGCGTTTTAGAGATAGTTGTTGTCGTGTTTCTTTTCTGCACCCTTCTTGCTTAATATTCCTGCTCTTGGACTTCAAGCACCAACTGTGCAACCTTTGTCACAGTATGTGTGTTCCAATTATTTCCTTTCAAATGTTGTATGTTTCCTCTAGGGCTGGTAATCGGTCGGTATCCGGTATACCGGATACCGAATAGTCGGTATCCGGTATACCGAATAACATTGTGTACCCACCGAATACCGATACCGAATGTTATCCGGTATACCGGATACCGAATACTCGGTATCCGGTATTAATACCGGTATACCGAATACCGATTAATGCATTGAGATTATACCATTAGAATTCGAGATAAAGAAACTCACGATAGCATTGGAGATTAACTAATTGGAATCCAATTGAAGTTTATTGTGAATACTTGGAACTTGAAGCATTGGAACTGACTGACGCTCAAAGCATCCCCTTGGTGATAAGGAGAATTTGAGTTTAGGCAAAGGATTAGATAGTAGTGGCGGCGGCGGTTGGTGGAAAGGGATTTGCGACTGATAAAGAAAAGGCGGGATGAATGTCCTGGGGGAAGACCGCCGGGGCGTGCTGTGGTGGCGCTGGAATTCGCCTCGGCGGGCTGGAGAAGAAGAGTTGAAGTCGAACAGAGGAAAGGTGGAGGGGCCGATGTGCTGGGCTACGCAGATGTTGATTTAATTTTAGGGTTTACACGCCCCCCCCCCAACTCCCAATTTCAAACGCTGTCGTTTCCTTTTTTTATTTTTGTTATTCGGTATTCGGTATACCGATTTACCGTCGGTATATGATTGGTCGGTATTCGGTATACCGTTTGGCCAAGAAGTGCAGCCGAATACCGATACCGACGGTATTCGGTATACCGAATACCGATTATAATCGGTTCGATACCCGGTATACCGAATACCGGTTTACCGAATACCAGCCCTAGTTTCCTCAAAGTCCTGTTTACATTTTGTTTTACAGGAAATCTGCCACTGATGAGCCCATGGTTTCCACTCTGCAAAAAACACATCCTTTGGAGAAAAAAAAGCGGAAAAAAACACCGTTGAAACTAAGGTTGGTCTTCTGCTTTTTCATTCTCTATGCTGTCACCGTGGAATACAGTCCAATGGACGAACTTACGCATCCCTTTCTTGGAACTTCTCTTGCTTACATATCTATTTTCGGTTCACAGACGTCAAATTTACCTGTCGGCACACATGATGTAGTGATTATTGATAAATGTCTTGCCTTTGGGTTTCAGAACAAAAATGGAAACAAAAATAATAGAACACATTGTGGTTTGCTTATTCTATTTCCTTTGTTTATAGCTTAGTTTAACTGCCTTTTGTTGTTTGCTTAGTTGA